CGTTCAAGCGGCAGTAGCCGTGGTAGAGTATCAGAACGAGCATACATCTAGCAAGCCCGAAGGTTGGGTTTTTTAAGAGCAGGAAGCCTCACCGTGGTGGGTGGGCCACTCATTATGCAGGAAGAATAACGTGCAAGGTCTCGATGGCCACGCAACACGGTGTAGGCCAAAGCCTGACGTAATGGGTCAGATTCGAAGAGCCTCTAGCTCCTATTAACTACTAGAGCATGAGGGATTTTTCCCTTTTCTTGAACGAAAATTTTTAAAAGGAAACGCATCCATGAGCGCTGTATTCCACATTAGTTCTACAGGCAAACTCTAGAATAACTCAAAAGGTTTAGCCGAAAAAGTTGTGCCTCTTAGGGGGGGGGGCTTCTACTGACGCTGACTAGATGGTTTGCACCCGTTAGGTGCTGCACATCCCGTCGGGAGATCCAAATTAGGAAAGTCTGGTATTTCACGTAATGGATACATGTCGATCTCCAAAATCGACGAACTACCGGGAACCGCCCAAGTAGAGAACCAGTGTCCGCGAAGGTTGGATTGGGAAAAGACAGACGAAAAATATGTATCCACTACTCTTAGCGGATTCTCTGCGAAGTCGATACCCGTGGTTTCCCTTTTCGCAGATGTATATGTATTTATTACATGAGGTAAAGTCGTGTGTAGACAAAAAAAAACTAAATTGACCTCAGAAGACAACAGATCCAAGTCAGACATCGACACAAAACATTGAAATAAAGCATCAAACGACGAGATGAAAGAAGAGAAAAAAAGACAGCATAAGAGTAGGGTCCAGTCTCCACGGAACCCTAGAACCGACTGACCAAGCACGAGAAAGCTTTGACACTAACGGGATTTATGTCCATCAAGCTTTATGTAGTCAGAACCAGCCCATATGGTGAGGAAAGGTGACCTTAGATTCTCTCGTTTCCCCTAATTACGCTGAAACCTTGTCCTCTGATCTTTCGCTGTCTCAGTGTGTGAATGTGGCCTAAAAGTTGATTCCGTTGGGAGCTACCTCAGCAAAAGAAGAGTTTCCCAGAAAAAGAAGCTTCCAAAGGATGTTTCCCGCTCGTAAACAATTCACGATAAACCTACTACGGAGGCCGTACACTGATGTTAACTTTGTGTTATTCGTTGATTTCATGGAGATTAGAGCCCGTGAAAGTATCCGTTCCTATGTACATGCGCCCTTACACGTAATACTTTACCTCGAAACAGTATGCAAACTGCGTCTTCCTTTGGATATTTCACTTTGAGGCAACTGTCAGTCCCAGGGTTGGACCGAGACATGGTTACAATTGACCTAAAATAAAAAATATCTCACAAAAGCGTAGTCGCCACCACGTTTAAGTGAAGTACGTAGCCAGGCCTAGCGCATCTCAAGGATTTGTAGTCTAGCTGCAAGCTTAGTAGCGGCTGCGAGGTTTCAGGCGGAAGAGGAGAGATATGTGTGTAAAAGAGGAGATCCTAGAGGGAATGCGCACTTATCGCTGTGAGGTCATCCTTCTTGTCCTTCGATATGGAATCTAAGGAAACGTTTCATAGTAGGTATTTTACGGTGTTCAAAGTGAGCTATTTCTCATCTCCCGGGTTGCAACAGTTGCACCTGCATAGCACACATCTTCTATATTTGTTCTAGTTTATAACCTGTCTTCTTAACAGCCTAGATTTTCAGTATGGCTCTTCCTGACTCACTGACGTCAATACACTCGTCATCAGCGGAATTTGACACGCAAAACATGGTTGAGGAAGAGGAAATCACTCCGGACGAGGTTAGTTTAAAACATTCGGACTACGAGCTCCATTTATTTCGACCGTCCATTTTAGAAGGGCGAGATGTCATAAGAACTTGCATGGTTGAGCAGTTTGATTTGTGTATTATATTCGGCATCGTTCTGATAAGTACTCACAATGAAGACTTGCATGGCAGAATGAAATGGCGGCACCTTGCCTAATGCCGCATCGTTATGATATTGTTGAATGCTTGGTGGACCAAATAGAGGGAATGGAGGAGAACTTAGCAGGAAGAACAGACAAGGTAATATTTGGTCTTGTGGAAGGATGTGGTACGCATAAGGTATGTACCGTCACTTCCGTGCCGCAACTCGCAATTAACGATAAGCACCCGTACGCGGAATCGTCAGAAATGTTACATAAAAGGTATCAGATGCGATATAAGTTTTTAAAGCTCCAGGGACTTATGAGGTAGTGGAGAGCTTGGGCCGATTCTTGCTCGTTATTGTTATGACTAAGGAGGAGGTGCCATAGTGACGAATGAGTGGGGCGAGGGGATACTGTACCACGCGCTCTGTGGATCGAAGCTTTGAGCGAATCTTAACCAGGGCACTGATTAGTTTACGATTTTGGTCGAGTCTCCCTTTTTTAAGTTGTTGGTTCGACCCCTCGAAACCTAGCAGCCACTTTCGCTCACTTTCTTTGATTGAAAACTACAACAGTAAAGGTTGTAGAGACCTTTAGCCAGCTCTTTCAAGGAATGCCAATCAACCCTCGCAGAGCAATGAACGGATCGATGAAAAATAACGAAAGCTGAAAATGCTCCCGTCATGCTCCCCTCCCCCCCCCTCCTCGTTTCAGAAAACAAAAACCAGCTGCAAACATCTTTTGCTATTCATTGGCTTTCATTATTTATTGTAGGACTTTCAGGCAAGCATCAGAATATCCGCACATCGTCTAGAGTTGCACAGGCTTACCTACATAACAAACGATTACATGAGGCGACGTTTGCAAAAAATTGAAAACAATCCACGACGAGCTCTACGGGATCATATGGAAAGGTTGACAGAAGGTCTGCAATGTTTCTCCAGTCAGTTCAAAGACAGTGTTCATGCTGGTTACATCTCCAAAGAAAGGAAACTATTGCCTCTCAATACCGGCGTGTCCCATTTTCTTGCTACATGAAGAAGAGGGACCTTTCGACGAGAAAGGCGCAACGTTTCTCTGTCTCCGCCCATTTGACCAGCGCGAAATGTGCCCAAAAAATCTTATTTTAGGCAGCGTTCATACTTCGCGACAGCAGCGGCGATCGCGGCGACCTCGGCGATCGCCGCGATCGTCGGTACGTGGCAGAGCCCCAACGCTATTATGGACCGCTCGCTTGATAAATAAGGGAATCCAACTTGTGAGACCTTCTTTTCTCTTAATAATGGCTACTAACTGATAACTTACGACTTTCTATACATAAGCGGATCTGGAATATGAGGTAAGGAGGTTTCACTTCTTTTTAGGTCGGGATAAGGCCAACTCCATTTCCTGGGTGAGCTTCTTTTTTTTGTTTTTATTGTTTCAATTTATGCAAGCGCCTTAAAATTCCTATCGTCTGAACTGTTCCAACTTCCAAAACATTTATAGTTTACAAGTCGAGTTCAAACAACGAAGAAAAAAAGAAACAGAAAGAAACTCACCTAGGAACCAAAACACTAATCATTTTACGCAACATCAACAGGTGAAAACTTTATAACCTCATGTATAAGCTCGACGAATGAAAAAAGAAACAATAAAAACCTACCCTAAATGAAGCTCTCACGCTTTTTGCTCATTTCTATCCTGAATCAAGAAAGAAAATAGAAAACAAAA